AGTTAATGGAGGTGGGAAAAGGAATTCGATGACAAGTCCTGAAGAACCCAATTGGTAGTGAATTCCCAACAGAGGGGAACAAAATCATTCAAACAAGCTCCCATTGGACCAGAACCCACAGGATAGTCACCAGTACTGTTGGCGATGATGAAACCTGCATTTGTAAAAACATGGCGAAATATGGAACCCCTAGTAGAAGGAACAAGTAAAGGAAGGGAGGTTGTCAGATGTGGAACAGGAACAGGGGATTGCAAGGGCACAGGGTGAGACAAACAAGCAACCAGGGATAAAAGGATCAAATGTTGCCTCACAGATACCACACACGATTTCAAAGTTTCAGGAATATTCCCCAAATAGGACCATATGGGAAAAGAAGCTATCCCCAAGTCCCTCCCCGAAAGATCCCAACAGGAAAGAAACCAAGTGTGAAGAGATATAGCCGAGTAGGATAATTACACCAAGGTAAGGAGGGAGTAGATATCCCTTGAAAATCCCCCAAGAGATTGGTGCAGTTTCTCAGAAAGAAGTTGCATGGTGGACAAGTACTGAAGGAGAGTCATAAGAGTAAGACAAAGGCAGAAAAACTGGGTCAGGAATAAACGGACAGGATTGACAGGTCAGGCCACCACACTGGCAGTAGTGATTCTAACTGTTAAGATTCAAGACAGAGGTAATTGCCTGATGGTAAGCTAATAAAAAGTGATCCGTGTCCTGTAGAGGGTGAGACAAGCTTGCACTACCCACAACTGATAAAGAAAATGCTCAACATCAGGAGGAGGGAAAACAAAATATTAGGTGGAAGGAGTGTCATGTAATAAGGAAGTAATAGGACTGTAATAAATTGGGAAATAGATAAAACGGAACAATCCTGAGAAATCATATCTAAAAAGGCTGAATTAGGACTAGCAGATTCCATAGGAGAGGAGTGGGGAGGCACAGCGTAATCGGGATGAGGATAAAAGCTGTCAAATTCCTCGTCCTCACAAACAGGTTCGGGAGGAAGTTGGGCACTATCCGGAGAAGGTCAACTCAGATAATGTTCAATCTTCCGACAAATTAAGGCCGAATATTCCTCAGTCGAGTTCCCCCTACCTGAAGCCTGTGTAATTGTGCTAGAAGCACTGAAGAGGTAACATTAACTTCGGTATTCATCATAAAATAATGAACATTATTTAAAAAAAGAAGAATAACCAAGGGAAGTTATCACTGAAAACTTTAAAAGATAAAATAGTAGTAAAAGATATATGATCTTTCCACTTCCTATGAGAAAATTCAAAAGAAAAAAGCGTGACGAGAGCACAATTAAACAGGTCTTGAATATAGTACTGCTTAACGAGTGGTGATAGCACGAAATAATCGAATGAAGGGAATTACATGCATCAGGAGGGCATGTCGCACTACACTTGGTGTAGGGTTGTTGCATGATGATTTGAATACGCGGTGCAAATAAGCCAGGATAATCATGGGTTACATAGGCGTGCAAGGCTCGTTGCATGCACAAAATGTTGTTGCATATAGAGGGCATCACTGAACGAGAATAGCTATATATGCGAGAGGAGGTAATGTACAGTATCGGAATTGCTCATTTAACTGTGTTTGGCAGACATAATAGAAAAGGTCTAATAAAATTCTAACAATGTGTAACTGTAAGTCGTTAACCTATTTACATGAACAGGACTCCTGTTTAATTATAACTAGCTCCAGCTAGATAAGAAGCATTGAAAGGGAAAAAGTCTGATTATACATCAATGAGCTGTTTAGCTTTCATAACACATAATGATAAACGTGTAATAAGAATGGAGATTTGTAGAATCAACATTTTGACGATCCAAAATAATAAATTTTTGGCTTCCTTCGTACTGGAATATTGCGCACAAAATGACTAATTCATACCCGTGATAATCTTATTCTATTATACATCTAACAAAACAAGTGGAATGTGCTATTAAGTTTATTGTCCGTTCGTTCAGTAAAGACATACCTAAAGTATCATGTTCTTGATTGCCTAGATGTTGTGTTTATATAAAATCATACACTCGATCTCCAGAGCTATGTATATAGTACTTGACTTATGTTAACCTATACACAATAGTAATCTAATTAGTAACTGTTACGTGTAGTTTTATAAAAATTGTTAAGAAGTAATGTTTATTGTCATAAAAAAGTCAGCAGTTTTAGTAGTCATGTGAAAATATGTGAGGATAAACCAACAAAACAGATTATTATATTTTCAGCTTGTTGCTGGTTTGGTACTATGTTGCGTATATGATACATTCTCACGTACAACATTTTCGGAGATAAAAAGTAACATAATCAAACACCGTTGAACACTAAAACGTCTATCATATTAAATGAAGGGTAATTCATTTAAACAAGCTGAAAATAAGATTACTCTCATGTAAGAATAATTGGTTAGTTTTGAATGTAATAAATTAATTCGCCCAATGATTAATCAATTACCAAATTCCACTAATCTTCCAGCTCTAGTTAATTTCAAATTAGCCAATTCTGAGTTTACTGTGAAATGATAGTCTACCAATAGTGTAACATCTGCAGTAATTTTACTATGAAAGTACAGTAATTTTACTGTGAAACAGTACAATACCAAAGCAATTTTACTATAAAGTACAGAAGTTTACTACAAAACAATTTTAACTTCCTTTTAGCTAAAGATGAAAAATAATACTGCAGTAGTTTTACTACACAACAGTAGTTACACTGAAGGTCTTTTACTACAAACTTAAATATGATCACTATGAAATGAGTGTAATACTGCAGCAATTTTACAGAGAAACAACAGAATACCTAAGTAATTTTACAATAATAGTACAGTAAATATACTACAGAATTATGGTAACTTCCTAAAAAACAAAAATACTGCAGCAAAGATCTGAATTTACTATGGTAAATTCTGCTGTAATAATATAAAATTATTTCATAAGTGCAGTGCCCAAAATTTTATTATTATTATCACTTTTTTAATGTATGGGAACATACTTGAGGACAGAACAAAGCATTTATCGATAACTTCCCATCAAAGCATACTTTCTACATAGATCAGAACTGAAATTAAGCCAATATATATAATTAATAAACTGCTCTAACGAAGAATGTTCAACATAAAAAAACATTTAACGAATAGAATTAACTCTTATTCATCATTTGGGTACCCTCAATCTTACAGATATATTTAACCTTAATTCAAGTAATATCTTACAAGCATGAGATTTTGATGCTACTTCTTAATCCATATAATAAGATAACAAACGAAAATAATCATCAAAATAAAAAAGATAATATATATATTACACATATTAAGTATGTGCCCTATACAGTTTATGTATGTTAGGCTACAATCAGTACTTTTGCATTTACCCAAATTATTAATTTATGAAATCAGGGGTGTGGAATTAAAAAAAAAAAAACACATCTTGTCCATTGGATAAAATGTAGTTTTTCAAAATCTACTTGCCTCTCTCCATCCAAACACACACACACAAATATAGCTTTAACAATGAACCCAATTAACACACTGCCACTATCAGTTCAGTTTTATCAGGAATGACATGTGGTGTATCATGTTTTGCATATAAGCTTTTCATTTATATTTATATACTTTATACAGCATGTAAAATATCCCATGTACCAAACTGATAAAGAAATTATGATTTACATCAATGCTTCCTCAATAAAATTGTATTTAATATATATTAAAGCTATTTTTAATCTTTCTGATACATTCTTCCTAGAGCTGGCAATAACAGATTAATGGGTTCCTAATGTATACCAAAGCAATGAAATAATATTGTTGCATTAATTTAAATGCATTTGCTACTCTGTGTGTTACAGGATTTTTTAATTAAGGGGATATATTTATTTTAGTATATACATTAGTTTCTGTTTGAGGTTTAAATGTACACATTTTTAAATGTTTGTATTTATGTGCTACATCTCTACAGTTTAGAATTTTCAGTAACTTGCATAGCTCCCTAGATACTTACCTGTGGTAGAGTTCTAGCAAATAGACTGAATGATTAACAAACTACTTGTCCAATGGGTAAAGTATAATGGTAAACTTGTTGTCCCTGGAATTTGGAACTATGAATTCCATCTTTATGATTAAATGATATCATTTAATGATAGACAGCCTCAAAATATTTACAACTCATATGAAGTTATAAATGTAAAAATATAAAGAGCTTTTATACTTCACATTTGGTTTCAATATACAGAAATTTGCATAAATTAACATACTTTGAAAATCATTTAATAAGTGTCACCGATGCAAAAAGTAATCTTAGGGTGCCAGCTATATCTTGAGAACTCTAATTGCATTTATCAATTTATTTCTCAACACATTTCAAGTTTTGCTGTAAAACTTTATAACTGCTAGCTATGACTGCCAGACTAATAAATTCAATTATTATTTTGTAATCATTCATTCTATAACTTGACATTAAACACAGGTGCTTTGGATGGTACATTAACACAATGTTATACAACTATTATGCTTCAAACCATTAACTGTTTTGGTGTATTACAGTAAAGATTTTAAATAAAAGTTATACAAATAATTAAATAGCTAAAATATATACTATTTATACTATAATATAGAAGTAGTCTTAAAAATAGTCATTTTATATATCCATTTTTAACATTGTAGTTTTGTATTTTCTTATATATATTGTATCTTTTTACACAACCAAATTTATTGTTTTATAGGACATGCATTATGTAACATTGTAGCTACTGTAGCTTAAAAGCTTGGTTACACTTTATGTTAGGCAATGACCAGAATTGTAATTTAATGTACACTTTAGAAATTGTAGTAACTTTATGATCAGTCTTCTTACTTTTATTAGGAAGTCTGGACATTCATATCAAATAAGCATACGAGTATATCATTCAAAGCATGACTTGTTAAATTTTGTTAAATACATTAACTGTGGATACTGTTCATCAAGAAATTTAAGTGAGACCTATCTACTCACAAACACAAGTAAAACATAATTATTGCTTTAATTCAGATAGTTCTGTTTTTTCAAATAGCATGATTAATACATTATAATACTGACAGTTAGGAAACTTATACAGAAGAAATTAGTCAAATCTATAAAAAAACTTTTTCACTGCTCTGGATTAAAGTATAGACCACAAACTCCTTCTTGTAAAGCCCTATAACATGCAAGCTTTGAGATAAAACCACCAGCTTTTTCTGTTTCAGAGGAAGTTCTTACATGTTTAGTATATCCATTAGCTTCCAGCATGTCATAATCTGGAGCATTTGGGCCACAAAGTGGTACTACAAGTTCTTTATATACATATAATTCACCCTCAGGTTCCTTTGGGATTGGAATAAATGTTTCCTTTTGACCTAGTTTAATACCAGTTGAAAACTGAACCACTGCAGGTTTGGTTGGAACTTTTCTAGAGATTTCAGTTTCTTTTACAGTTGAGACATGACTTGCTAAAATCTGTCCAGCTGGTAGATCAGAGAACATCAAGTCATCAATCAATGCTTCTTTTTGTTTTAACCTTGATTTTTTAATTTCCTTTTCTTCTTCTAGGAACTGTTGTTTTCTAATATCTGTCTCCTGCTTTTCCTGTTCCAACAGAATCTCTAACTCTTCCTCATCTCTGCTAATTTTGCCCCTGTTCTTTGATATCTGTGTACGGTTTTCTTTTTTGTATTGTTCAATTTTTCGTTTTGTTGCTTCAAATTCCACATTATTTACAAGATTAAATATAATTGTCTCAATCTCTTCCAGGTAATCATTGTATTCTCTTAGTGATGAGAATTCCTCCTCTCTCTTATTAAAATCTTTTAAAACTTTTCGCCTAATGTCAACTTCCTTCTCAACACAAGGATCTTCAAAAATTTGGATCCTAAAATCAATCCTCCTGAGAGGTATACCACATTCAGCACATGCTCCTGAGCCCTTCACAAATAACAGCTCTACACAGTTTTCACAAAGAGCATGACCACAAACATTCACTAGTAGTTTGAGGGACGGGTTTCTGTACTTGGTTGTTTTGCATCGAGGACATGCAGCTTCATCCATCTGAGGTAGCACCTGGAAGATAAGATCAGCCTGTATTAGTAGTATGAAAACAGATACAATATGTCATTCCATTCACTCCTAAGAACACACAGCTATCTTTCCAATATCATAATCATGCAGTGTTTTATATGTATTATATATTAGAGTATTTTGTCTTTTGCCCTATAGTTTAATATTAAAAAAAACTGTCAATTAACACCAAAAAATTTAAAACTAGTAATTTTCTTTTATTTATTCTACTTGTTAGTTTTGAATTATGTCTCAACTGTAAACAATCATTGTTTTTATTTACAGTGGATAAAATTGAAAGAAAATTCTAGATACCATGTGCATGCATTATGGGTACAATCACATTACTTTTGAATTATTTTCTAATATTGTTGCTTTCAATGCTCTTAGCAATCATCATGAAGAATGTAGATAAACAGTGAAAAAACCATCATCATGCAGTAGCACAAATGACGAGAAAGTTTGTAGGAGTTGCCTAAAGGCTAGTGGCATGCAAATCTATAAGGCAGAAGCATGAGAAAGGTAGATTTCTCTATACAGAGGTGGGTATCGTCTCAGAACCTTACAGTTTATGTCATCACTTATAATTATAATTTTGAGTGCAAACCATAATTTTTGGAAAAAAAAAGAGTTGGTAGCAATAAAGACTCTCTGCAAAAATAATATGATAGTTTTACTGAAACCTTATGAGGTAATGAGGTAGTTCTTTTCAATATAAAAAATTATAATTTCTAAGACATATTTTAAATGACAATACAAAGTTTGTTAAAAAAAAAGAACCTATAAATGTTATAGAAACAAAAGTTATAATTTTCCTACACTGAAAATGTATTTCTGATAGGTACTTACCTCCCTCACATAAATATCTATTTTCTCGTTCAGTGTTGCCCTCTATATGCAAAATAAAAATTCACACATGCCACAAGCCTTCCATCTCCCCTCCATTGGAATTGACTGATTTCAATGCATCTATAATGCAAATCGTCATGCGTCAACCTTTCACCAATAAGAGTGCGACATATTATCATGACACATGTGACTCCCTCCATTCAATTTTACCAAACTATCACTTTGAGTTTTGGCAGAAGATGGAAGTACCAGTGTTCAGTGGGAAGGAAGGGTGGGAAATGTGAGAGGAGGTAAGTACCTATCAGAGATACATTTTAAGTGTAGAAAAATTATAACATCTGATATGGTACATTACATCCACTCACATAAATAGCTAGAATATCACACTGAATGGGTGGAGGGGCCGGTGCAAGGGAAAGAAAGAAGCATCCTTCGAAAGCATCTGAAGGACAGTCAGATTCTAAGATCTGATGTGGGGAACTGCACCATTTCTGAACCAGGTATACTCTTCGCCCATCATAGGAAGATGTATATATGGGTAGAGAACTATGGCTGGAAAGTGATCCAAACCATTCCAGAAATTATAAAAGTGGGTAAAATGAAAATAATGTGCCCCTAGGTGTAGAGTGGATAAGGGACAACAGACTGTACACTGCAAGTCATCTACATCCAAAACCCATGCCACAGAGAACCGACATCCACGCGGGGGTAGGATGACGATCACACTATCGGTAAGTCAACTACAATCTAAAACCCGGCCTCCAGGTACCGACAGCAACGTGGATCATACCACCGGCAAGTTGACTACAATCAAAAACAGAGCCACATCTCAAGTTCATGATACTGGAGGTAATCTAGTACCCCCCCCCACAACTGATGAACGGGGCATATGTGAATATGATAAATTGATCCAAGAACCTGACATCTCCCTCAAAAGTGAAATTGACCAGAACCACTCCAAGTGCATTAACATCCTCAGAAAAAGAAACCTCAAGGGATAGAGGAAGGGAAAGAACCATAATAATCCACAATTACCTCCACCGTGACTCACAACACTGATAAGAGTATAAATGAGAGAGGAATATATAAACATCTGCAATACATGTGAGAGGACTTATGCTCATTGGTTCCACTCTAAATTCAAAACCTGGCCACTGGGAAATGATATCCACATGGGGGTAGGATAAGCAATCCCAATCGAGGGGTTGAACTGCAATTTTGACATGTCACTACCATTTGTATTAATGTTTCATACTGGAGGAAATCAAGTCACCTACACTAGCAGAACACCTCCACCATACTCTCAACTGAATAGTTATATAATCAGTTCTATATTCTGTTTGTATTTCATTAACCCATTCAGGAGAATGCCTCCATGGTCACCCCACCCCAGTGGCTTGGAACTGAAAAGTGGTAAGGACTCTCAAACTCCACAAGAAGAAAAGGGGAGTAAAACACGGAGAATCTGGAGGAACTGCAACACCTGAGACAGTGCAATCGGTAACCATGAAACCCTATTTTTAAAAGCAGATCATACCGATTTATTTAATACAAGACATGACAGGGATGGGCAGCTATACCTTTCTGCTTTACCCATGCAGTCCATGGGTAGGTATGGGCAAACTTATGAAGCAATTCTGTTGTAAGGATAAACCTACAAGCAATCTTATGGAACACACCATCTCTGCGGTGTGCATTGATTGGCCATGGAATTATAATATGCATGTAGACATGGCTTGACAGTGCAGATTTGAACAGTTAAAGAATACCTGGTCTGGCATCACTTGCCACATAGCAGGATCCAAACATAGAGCATTAATAAAAGGGAAAAGGGCTGCTGAAAATGAAAAGTAAGAAAAAAATAACTTACCCAGTCAAAGTCTCACTAAATTCTGATATCCTGAAATGGCTACATGCAGAAGACAATAACCAAAAGAGGAAGAAAGCCACAATCTGATGCAAATAGTGAGAGATAAACATATCATGGGCAGTCCATGTGCCCGATTGAAGAAGTACCGCCAACAGATGATGAAGATGAAACACCAATGAAAAGGCAAGGTATCAGATTGGGTGAAAAGACACCTGGAAAAAAGTATGGGAGGAAGAGGATAAAGAGGAAAAAGCCAATCGATTGAAGAGCCAAACCCAATTGGCAAATGAGGAAGGAGACAGAACATGAACAGAGGATGGTTTCCAAGGAAGAAAGAGACAGAATGGACACTACAGAAGGAAGCTGTGCAGGAAATAACAGAGAAGAGCACATACGGGACACAGAAGTCTATCGGGATCAGGACAAGGATATAGGTGTGAGACGAAAGGAAGAGAAAGTGGCTAAATCGATGAGTTATCCTCATGAGCCAGTGAAGTGTTGGAAGGAAAATGATCCGGAGAAAGTAGAAGATGTGCAGATGGATAAAGAGTACTGGAAACATGAATGGCAAATAAACAGACCACTGACATTTATAGGCAAATAGGAGAAGGAAGGAAGACATAAGGGAAGATGAAACAAAGAGTACTGGAAGAGTGGTTTGAATGTAGGCAAATTGAGGCAGTGCAGGAACACATTAATATCCTCATCTGTGGAGGAAGACAAATCTAAAAGGAACACATCCACAGGTAAAGTGTATGAGTGGTAAATACCTGCAGGATCAAGAAAGAGGAAAGGTGTGGGACTGGACCACCCAAAAATCAGAGAACAAGGAGACAGAAGACCCCTGATCCAAAAACCAATCCTGGAAAAATTCAATTTGTGTTGAGAAACTTCCATGTAGGAAGAGCGAATGAAACAAACCAGGAAAGAGACTAACTGTTGGAGAAGCCAGATTACTTCACCAATGACCAGAGGAAAACCAGGTGTGAAGACAGAGGACAGGAAGGCCTGGATGAAATACCAGTGACTGAGGGTGGCAAAGAAGGGATGGAGACAGAAGAAAAAGTAATGGAGGAGAAAATTGGAGCAGGAGAAGCTGCAGAAATCACAGCTGAGACAGCCAGGAAAGATCTATCACAAGGGCTGAACACAAAGTGTCAATGATGAATGAAACCACCTAGAGAAGAAGGAGAGTGGAAGATTAGACAAACATGAAGGTATAATTTTGGCTGAAAAACATTGATAGAAAAGGAAGAAGATGAGTAAGGGACATAGCAAAAGCCTCAACATGAGGAGTACTCCACTGAAGTCAAAACCATTTGAAAACAAAATGGTCGAGAGACCACTCTGTTGGATAAATGTTGTCTGGACGGGAATCTGATCCACAACAAGAGCAAAAGCAGTTGGAACATGACACGCAATGATAGGAATATCAAGTGTGTGGGCCCAAAAAGAAGATCGAACATATGAATAAAGAGGGATAGAGAACAGGTGCTGCCCTAATGATTGAGATCAGCAACTACTAAAATTGGTTGGATGGTCAGATGGAGAAAATGTATCAAAACATGACCTATAGCTAGAAACGTTGAAAGGATAAGACCTCTTGGCCGCAGACCAAAATCCTGGAACAGCCTGGAAAAAGATTATGCAACAGCCTTTAGAGACAGAAAATCTTATACCACCTCGGACAGACACAGGCTGGTGGCAGGATCCCAAGTCATGGGGAAGGAAAAGGGTACCAGGACAAAGGAGGCGGGGAAAGAAATAGTAGGACAAGTCCCTCTGATAAAATCTGAAGAACCCACTGACCTGTAGTGAAAGATCACAAAATGATAACAATATAATATAGTCAAGCTCCCACTGGACCAGAACCCTCTGGTTAGTGTATGGTACTGTTGGCAACATGCCTATCATCTTTGAATAAAACAACGAGATGAGAAATCCATTGAAGGGGACAGGGATGGGTAAAAATAGAGGCGTGTTGTGGCTCCAACTGTGACAGACTTGCAACCAAAGTGGAAAGGGTCAAGTGTTGATGCACAGATTACACATGAGATTCCAAAGTCTCAGATACATGATTGAAAATATGTCACCAAATAAAAAAATACAGAAATCTCAAAAAGAAAGAGGCAGCAAATGTACCAGGGACAAGGTTAAATCATACATGTAAAGCAAGAGCTGAAAATGACAAACGAGAAAAAATGGAGGTAATAAAGAATCAGAGAAAAATGAAGAATGGGATAAAATATACTATACCTGAGAAATAATGTCGAAAAATGCCATA